TGCAAGGTATCCTAGTGATGGAACTGTTCTGTATTTTGACTGTGGTAATGGCCATAGAAATCCACTTAAAATTACCTAGAATACACACACACAGTAGTGTATGTAAAACTGGTGAAAACTGAGTGAGGTCTGTAGACTGTATCAATGACAATTTCCTGGATGTAACATTATATCTAGTTATGCAAGATGTTACCTTAGTGTGAAACTGAGTGATGTGTACACAGGATCTGGATCTCTGCATTATTTCTTACTACTGCATTATTTCTTACCATTATCTTTCTTAAAAGTTTTTTAAAATACAAAAAACAAAACAAACAAAAAACCCGCAGGTTCAAGACCAACCTGGGCAACTTGGCAAGACCTCATCTCTACAATAAATCAAAAATTAGCTGGGCATGGTAGCACACACCTGTAGTTCCGGCTACTTGGAAGGCTGAGGTGGAAGGATCGCCAGCACCCAGCAGGTCAACGCTGGGGTGGCTGTGAGCATGTGTGCCACTGCACTCCAGCCTGGGTGAGGGGGTGAGACTCCAACTCAAAAAAACAAAACAAAACAACAACAAAAAGGCAAACTGGAGGGCGAGAAGATTGCAGGGAGAAACAGAAGTCCAGCTATATGATGCTTATGAAAGGCAAATAAAGCAAAATGATGTAAAATGACTAAAACTAAGCATATGAACAATAAAGATCTATCAGGTATAGACAACACTAACAAAGAAGCAAGAGTAATATCAGGCAATGTAGACTCCAATGCAAAACTCATTCAACAGGGCAAAAAAATAGTAATTTTATATTTTTATGATAAAAATCTACTAAGAACAATTACACATAGGATCCTTAAGAATGAATTCAACCAAAATCATAGTCAAAGTAAAGAACTAACATACTTTGCTTACTCATTTGTCAGCTTTGAGAAACAACAAATAAGGATATAGTATGCTATAATAAATGTGCCAAATCAAAACAACAAGGAAAACACAGCTTATCAAAATAAATGTTTTGGGAAAATGTCCAGCAATTTGAAAAAATAAATTTAGAACATTATCTCATAGCAACCATTTTTTTAAAATCTAAAATATGTGATAAAAGAATGCATACAAAGAGTATTTTTAATAATCTAGGGTGAAACCAAGAGGCCATAAAAGAAAAGAATAACAGAACTGGCAATATAAATATTAAAGATTTCCATATGGCAAAATTTTCCAGAAATAACATTAACAGAGTACACTAAGATAAAACATGAGTAGTGTATTTGCAATATACAAGTCATTAATAGCCACTATATGTAAAGAACGACTACAAATCAATAAGAAAAAGAGGAACACTTCAACAGAAAACTAAGCAAAGAATATGACCATGTAAGTAACCAAAGAATACAAATAGCCAATAATTATATACAATAGTCAACTCCATCAGTAAGAAATGTAATATTAAAACAGAAATAAAAACTTATTTTTTCATCCATAAAATTACTAAATGTAAAAAATTATCATAACACCTTAGCAGTGATTTTGGTGAGCCATTACTTCACATGTCTCTCGTTTCTGCCTATCTTATAAGCCTTCATCCCAGATTCTCTCTTCAATGGTGTTTATAGAAGCATACAGCCTTGGCAGATAAAGAGATGTTCCTTCTGGAGCAGAGAGCATGTTTATTCACTATCCAGAAAAATGAAGATAACGTCTCCCAATATGGTAAAGCTCAGGCAAGTTTAACTGTAGCCCACTGTGAAAAATTCAGGTTCCTAAAGTCAGGATTCCTCTCCTGTAACACAATCTACTTTACCTGCCCTAGTGCCACTAGGCCCTTGTCACATCATCCCATGAAAACTAGGGCTCCAGGAATCAGTATAAGAGATGATGACACTCTGGCTATCGTTACTGTTTTGCTTTGTCTCTGACCCAGGAGTCTTATGTTTTCTGCAAGCTGTTAACTTGTAAATGGAGTATCATCTAAGACCCATGGCAATTCTTGGCAATGGTATGGCAAAAGCAACGTTCTTACAAATTGTGTAAATTTACTTTTATAAACGACTTTTTTGGAGAGCACTATGGCAGACTCTCTCACAATTTAAAACATATATATAGCCTCTGACCATCAATTCCACATCCAAGTATCTACAGAAAGAAAACAAACAAGCATGCAAATATGACAGCATACAGAATAAGCATAAAAATAATGCCTGCAGTTTTGTTTGTAATAGAAATAAATTTGGAATAACCTAGTAGCAACAAGAGTTTCACTAAACAAATTTTGTGTTATTCCTACAATGAAATACCAGAAATATTTTTAACAAAGACAAGATAATATTATATGCACTGACACAGAAACAATTCAACAATTATTACTAAGTGGAAACTACAGAAAAGTATATATGTTGCACTACCATTTATGGAACAAATATAGATCTAGACGCATCTATTTTTAAAACCTAGAAGGAGAACAAATTATTGAATAGTGATAGTCTTTGCAGAATATATGGCTACTAGGTAGGTGGGTACACAACATTCACTTACTCCTTTGGCTATTTCTGTATTGCTTGATTTTTCTTTTTTAGAGAATATATACACTGGCCAGTTACAGTGGCTCACATCTGAAATACCAACACTTTGGGAAGTCAAGGCAGGAGGACTGCTTGAGCCCAGGAGTTCAAGACCAGCCTGAGCAACATAGTGAGACCTCATTTGTACAATCAAAAAATTAACTGGATATGGTGGTGCACTTGTAGTACCAGCTACTCAGGAGGCTGAGGTGGAAGGATCGCCTGAGTCCAGAAGGTCAAGGCTGCAGTGAGCTGTGATTGTGCCACTGCACTTCAGCTTGGGCAACAGAGAGACCCCCAACTCTTAAATAAATAAATAAACAAACGATGTATGAATTTATTTTATGATCTAATAAAGTTTTTAAGTGTCTATTACAGCAACTCCTGAAAACTTTTATTTTGAAATATCCAATTGGGTAAAATACAAACGGACATGAGGATGTCACGGGGAACATTTCCATAGCCATCTATCTCTTAGTGCTGTAGAAGCCAGGTCCAGAGCATCCTAAATCATAGCTGATGGGGAGAGACACAACATTTGCTAAGAAACAGTGCAAAGTCAAAAGACGTGCGGATTTTGAATCAGGCTGCTTCTTTATGTACAACTCTGAGAAGCAACTCTAGCAGAGAGTTGCAAGTGAACAACAGAAGGGACTGATTTAACAAGGCTGAATGATTCAACTGACCCTGAAAAAGGCAAGCTAAAATAAATTAATTTCCAAAGCAGGTAAGGAACTTTAAAAGGAGGGGGCAATAGACAAAGAAAGGAAATCAACCTGCCCCCACTAAATGTGTTCCTTCCAAAAATATTTAGTGATGTCTACAATACGCCACTGATGTCTTCAAATCACTAGACATTAAAATCATTATAAAATTAGAGTAACGGAAGACAGGATCACCACAGGAAGCCAGAGATCACGGCACAACAGCTCAAAAAATCTTGAGAATTAGAAATCAGGGCCTTTGATAGTTATAGAACTTATCAGAAGGGAAAAGTAGAATTCAACAAATGATGATGATGTCACTAACAAAAAAAGTTTAGAGCCTTACTTCCCATCTCACACTAAAATATAAATAAAACCATTAACAGTATTAGAAGATAATGGAGGTGGATATTTACATACAATTCATGTTCAAAACACCTTTCTAAAAAGACACCTAAAGGAGAATATTGACCACACTAAAATTAAGAGAATGAGGCAAAAAACAAACACAGTCAAGAAAGAAGGGGCAATGTTTGTTAACTGACCATACACGCAAGTAAAAGATAAGCAGTTAACATTTTAAGATGCCACTATACAGAGGACTATAATTGCATCATGGCATGTGTAAAATAAATGAACCACTTTAACACTGAGCCGACCTCTCTGATTTTCAAGTCAGTAACAGAAGGGAAGAATATGACAATGCAGGGGTCAGAAAAGCCAAAATTGGGGGCAGCAGTTAAAAAAACAAATCTAGTACTCAGAAAGGAAGTACTAAAAGAGATAACTTATAGTGCCTACTACAGGATGATGCACACTGCCAACTGTAGACAAGTACACTAGCTGTCCCTTTCCTCCAAGAACTTAGTATCTGATAAAAGACTATGAGACCATGGATGTGTTGGATAAATCTCCCGCTACTCAGCCAACAGGTACAATACCTAGTACAGAAAACAGAAGAATAAAGTGAGTTTGGAGGAAATCATGTACCTAAATCCTGAACTTAAGAGACCAAGAAATGCTCGCAGGAAGCAGAAAAGGCAACCTGTGTCTTCTAACAGACCAGAAAGCAGCAATCCCAGCACCTGGTGGTGGGGAGCCCTCCAGGGCATAAAACCAGACGCGGTCTCCAGACCGGAGAACCAGCTGACCACAGGTTCACACCACCTTAACTTTCTAATAAGTCGCAGCCTGTATTTCAACGTGTGAATGCATCTCGAAGCTTGGAGGCCAGGGCCATGTGGGAAACCAAGGAACTCCAAACCCACCCCTGTACTAAACATGTTCACAAGGAGGCCAAGTGGAGAGCCATCACCACGCTCCAGGGGCATCCCTAAACTCCGAAACAAGGCTGCAGCCGAGCATCTTGTGGCAGTCCCGAAGAAAGAAAACACGGGCCTGGCGAGGCAAAAACCCTCGGAGGCCCGAGGGAAACCAAGGCAGCGGGCCCAGGAGCAACAAGTCCACAGACAGGCAGGTGGCCGAGGCGTGACGGCCGGGCCTGGCGCCCAGCGGCCCCTACGGCGTAAACAACCCCGCGCACGGCCCGCC